ATTTGTAGAATGCCAAATTACCATAATGTGATGTCTTCTCGTGTTTCGTTACCCCTTAGAACTTCCCCTCGGCGCAAATGCAATACGAATTTTGTTATTTTTTCGAAACAAAAACAATTTGCCCCTTGCTTCGTTCTTGTTAAGATCTGATGACGCGATTTTAAAAGGGAATTACATATAAAAGCAAATGAACCGTTTATTTCTGGTTGGCATATTTTAAAATAACAATGGCTGACGTAGTACTGACGTCATGATACCCACATTAAAAAACAAAAACAATGTTTGTAAACAAATATCTTCCCTATAATGCTAACAATATGTGAGACTCGCTTCATTTAGGATCGCTGTTCTATAAAATAAACTGTATACAAAATCAAGCATCGGGCTAAATGGAAATCTTTCAAAGGGGGAGGGGGGTATCACAGGAAGGCCAAGCTCAGTGCGTAAAGGTCTTTATCACTTACGAAATGGCGACGTATAATCATCATAAGAGGTCAACCTTAATCACTGACTACGTAATTGCATGGAGTGTAGTTAATAATTAGTCAGGACCCTCGGGTGTATTCCCTAATCCGCCGAAAAGGCTGTAAACTCATAATAACAAACGACAAGAGGACAATATAGGCGAGAACAAAGGACAATTTTATTACCATACCTACACTTTAAAGCGACAGCAGCATTTTCCATCAGATCTTTTACAACGAAGATCATAAACAGACTAATATTTTTATACCCTCCACATAATTCAGTATTAGGGTTGAACCTTTTTATTCAGTCGAACCCTATTAAGCGGTCACCCTCAGGGAAATGGCAGGTGGCCACGGTACCTAATGGGGTTCGTCAGAAATTAGCAAGAAGCTCCGTGGATTCGTCACTCCATTCAAATACAAACATGCTTGAAGGCTTGTGACTACTGGTGCACATATAATAAAGCCTACTGTTTCAATTCCTGATGGACTTGGAATTACGTCAAGAAAATTAAGATAAACGTGTTTTTAACGTCGTCATTGGACTCTGGTCTGTTATCGCTTTTTTCAAACCAAAGCAAAACTACGTGTTTTATATTTTGGGTGGCCGCTCAATAGAGGTAAAGTAAAGATCGAGAATTGAAAACCCTCATCCAACCAACAAAAGACCAACAAAAGATGGCCGCGGCCGCTTAATAGAGGTGGCTGGCTAATAGGAGTTTCATTTACCGTATCCTACGGACAATAATTTCGGGTCTTTGATAACTGGCCGCGTAATAGAGGTTCGCCTGCATGTCGCTTTTTCGTAAAGTGATAAAGACGCCCACATCCTGAGCGTGGGCTGCCTGTGGTAGTATTCCATTGTACAACACTTGCACTTCATTTTCTTCAAGATAAGGAGTAGGAAAATGTTGATCCAGCTTCATGTCCCGAAAGCTGTAACAGCAACATTAAACAGATCGAATACAA